CATCTAGGCCCGAAACGTCAGCCTCTCTGCTCCTATGATGCTGCTTGGCCTGTGTTCATCCAGCCCTGCACCTTGTTGTCTCGGATTCTCCAGCATCTGCAGTTCCTACTATCTTAGAATAGTTAGGTGGTTGTTTTTGATGGTTGTGGACTCAATGGGTTGAGGAGCCTTTATTATGTGCTATAGACCTCTATGACATTATCATGTGATGCATATGGTGTACATGGCATTTAATAAAGTGCCACGTAACAGGCTTCTCATAAATGTAGAAGCTTGTGAAATAAAAAAGACATTGGCAGTGTGGTCATCTCAGGGAACAGTAGTGAATGCTTGGTCTTCAGAATGAGGCAGGATGAATAGTAAGTTTCCTTGTGGTCTGTGTTAGGTCCACTGCTCTTTCTGACATACATTACAGCCTAGACTTGTGTGTGCAGGGGATAATTTCTATAACCACGGATGAAACAAAACTTGGAAGTATTGTGAAGTGTGAAAAGAATAGCAGTAACCTTCCAATAAGACATCAGCTGATGTAATGGGTATGTGGCCAATGAAATTTAATGCAGAGAAGTGTCAACTGGTCATTATGGTAAGAAGAACAAGGAAACATTAGGATATAATACCAAAGAGGGTGGTGGGGAGTGGGAGCGGGTAGTGGGGGTGGTTGGGGGGGGAGGTGATGGTGGCAGGGGAACCTAGAGGTACATGGGCACAAACAGTTAAAGGGGACAGAGTATCTTGAGTAACTGATTAATGAAGACATGCAGGATCCTGCATTTTATCACTGGGGGTGTAGAGCATAAAAGGATGGAAATTATGATGAACCTTAAGAAAATACAGTTTCAGCCTCAAACAAAGTACATTAGGAAGGATGTGAAGACATTGCTGGAGAGCTGCCGTAAAAGGATTTATGAGAATAATTTTGGGGAAGAAAGGTTTTGATCCAAAGGGTGACAAAGCTGGGGCTGTTCTCATTCGAGAATGTCAAGGGTGAGATTTGATGGCGATGTTCAAAATCATGAGGGGTCTAGAAATGATTATTTCTGTTTGCAGATGTGCAGGTTAGGTGGATTGGCCATGGGAAATTGCCCCGTTGTGTCCAGGAATCCACAAATTAGGTGGATTAGCCATGGAAAATGCAGGATTATGGGGATAGGGTAGGGGTGTGACCGGGTCAGGGTGGGATGCTCTGAGGGCTGGTGCAGTCTTGATGGGCCAAATGGCCTCTTTCCACACTAATAGGATTGTATGATTCTAGAAGAGTCGAGAAGCAGAAGCCACTGATGTAAGATGATTGGCAAAAGAACCAGAGGTGACACAAGGAAAAGCTTTATTATTGTTAACGAAATAGGGGTAGGTTGAAGCTTTTCCTCTTCGTCAGGACAAAACACAAGAATACAACATTTCAAACAACCACAATAATTTAGACTGCAGGAAAACAAAGGGGAGAAGAAAGAACTATGGATGCTGGAAATTGGAAACAGGAACACAAATTGCTGGAGAAACTCAGCTGTCCAGCAGCATCTGTGGAGAGGAAACAGTTAACATTTCCAGTCCGCAAAGTCAACCCTCATTGGTTGAGGGGTTGCCAATGTAGAAACCAAGGTGAAAGTACAGCTTCTTCAAACTCCCGGGGAATTCTAAAAAAGGTGCAAAGTTTCAGCCTACAGGTAGTTCGGACCAAAAACAGAAATTGCTGGAAGAGCTCAGCAGGTCTGGCAGCATCTGTGGAGAGAAATCAGAGTTAAAGTTTCGGGTCCCTGTTCTGAGGAAGGGTCACCGGACCCGAAACATTAACTCTGATTTCTCTTCACAGATGCTGTCACACCTGCTGAGCTTTTCCAGCAATTTCTGTTTTTGTTTCTGATTTCCAGCATCTGCAGTTCTTTCGGTTTTCCTTTACTTTGAACAGAGCCACTCTGAATTGACACAATGATTTCACATTTTGAGGCTTATTAATTTTGTATTAATAGGGTGTCAAACTGCATGCACATCTCTGACCAGGCCTGTAGTCAGTGCCAAGTATTCCAAGCAATGAAATGTGGTTAATCATTGATAGTAGGAACTGCAGATGCTGGAGAATCCGAGATAACAAAGTGTAGAGCTGGATGAACACAGCAGGCCAAGCAGCATCAGAGGAGCAGGAAGGCTTACATTTTGGGCCTAGACCCTTCATCAGAAATGGGGGAGGGGAAGGGGTTTCTGAAATAACTAGGGAGAGAGGGGGAGGCGGATAGAAGATGGATAGAGGAGAAGATAGGTGGAGAGGAGACAGACAGGTCAAAGAGGTGAAGATGGAGCCAGTAAAGGTGATGTAGGTGGGGAGGTAGGGAGGAGATAGGTCAGTCCAGGGAGCGGGATGAGGTTAGTAGGTAGGAGATGGGGGTGGGAGGAAGGACAGGTTAGGGAGGTGGGGACGAGCTGGGCTGGTTTTGGGATGCGGTAGGGGGAGGGAAGATTTTGAAGCTTGTGAAATCCACATTGATACCATTGGGCTGCAGGGTTCCCAAGCGGAATATGAGGTGCTGTTCCTGCAATCTTCGGGTGGCATTAATCGTTTTGTTTTTTGGAACTAGCCCTCACATACATCCTTTATTTAATAGTTGAAATCCTGTCTATACAAACACTGCGTTCACACATCTGTTTTACATTCCCCTGCATGTTGCAATCATGACTGGAATGTTACGTTACATTAATTAACTTGCTTCTCACCACCTCCCCCCCCCCCAATTCCTGTTCCGGGTAAATGATTTCCTCTATGTTCAAATAAAACGTGTTAAAAAATACAGTTGTAGATTTGTTTCAGGCTGATACAATGTAAGTAAGCATCTCGATCAGAAACGAGTTGTTAATTAGTGAGTTATTTTGGAGTGGGTGGGGTGTATTGAATTTCTGCTGTAGGACGCCATGCAGTGTTAGTGAGCAGACACGGACTTTGTCTCAGTCACAGTGTAACTAACGCGGAAGTGAAGTGTAGCCGTTTTTCGTACACATTTCTCTGTCGCTTTGGACTGCAGGTAAGACGTGGCTTATTCCCTACGTGGAGCAGCCAAATGCACAGAAATGATGTTAAGCATTTGCAGCCTATTTTTGAAAATCTTTCAAGATTGAATGAATTCTTTCTGAGTAGGCTCGGGAAGCAGCAACCTGCTTTCGCTTTGAGATTTTAATTAGTGCCTAAGCGAGGCGGCGCTTTGCATTGCTGCACCAAACCGAGCGGGGTTTATATTATTTCAGGCTGTGAAAGGTCGCTTAGAGGACTCTGAACTCAGTGAAATTTCATACACAGCTGCTATTTCAGCTCAGCGTGCATCGGATACCCGTTCCTGCTCTGTGCTGGTAAATTACAGAGGGAGATTTTTCTATCCTTCTTAGTGAACCCCGGCTTGTCCTTCTCAATGTCACTACAGGCCTGGATAAGATTGACCGTGAGGGTAGAGGACAGTGTCAGAGGTGAACAGTTGGTGTTGGGAGCTGTAGGCACTATAAGGGTTGGGGAGGTGTGTGTGTGTGTGTGTGTTTGAGAGGGAGGGTGGTGGGGTGACTGAAGCACACACTGATTACAGCCTGGTGTAGACGGGAATGGAATTTGAATGTGAGCAATAAGAATCGATCTTGCTTCATTTCCGCTCTTTCTTCACAGCAACAGTTCCTGCTCAGAGCTTTTGTTTCAGATTTTTGACCAAAACAGCTTTAACCTGCTGTATACAGAAGGAACCTGCCTTTAGCTGGGTCAGAGTGGATTAACACATCAGAAAAGTACCCCACGCGGTTTGATTAAGCCATGGCCTCTAGGCTTATTTTTAGTCAGCTTGCGCAGAGATATTATGGCCCACGTCTGGAGCAGGTGGGACGAAAACTGACTCCGGGCTACAGGTAAACAGACTTTACCTTTAAAGTCACCATAGCCTTACCAGACCATCGTTAGAGAGAAATGACTGGGGGTGGTTTAACCTGAGGGTCACCATGCCTCATGAGAAAGGGAGAGATTGAGGAGAGTCCTTCATAATAACCTCTGTTGCTATCACTGCATTGGAAACCAGTTGTCCAGCCAACTGATCTCTCCAATTCTGAGGTAGGGATGCTCCCAGTACGCTATAAGAGCCCTTTGTTGGGTGGGGGTGGTTCTTGTTGGTGTCTTTATGCTTTGTCCTGGCTACAATATAGCTGAAGAAGTGGTAAGGTTCTGAGGTTGGGAGAATTAGTAAGAATGAAAGGAGAATAGTGAAGAGTGAATGATGAACTGAAGACTAGTCATAGAGCTGTACAGCACAGAAGCAGACCCTTTGGTCCAACTCGTCCATGCCAACAAGATATACTAAATTAATCTGGTCCCATTAATCAGCATTTGGCCCATATCCCTCTTAAACCTTACTGTTCATGTACACACTACTCAGAGGGAATACTGACAACTGAGTGAATGATCTGGAGGCAGATGGAGATGTGGACTTCCATTTAGCATTTATGCCTGAGTTGTTTGGGTTCCTTAGCATCCAGTGTTGACTCACATAGAACCAACATTTAATATTTTACATAAAAGGAAGTACTTAATAGTATCCACATTTAAATGGGTTTGCACTTTCCCAAGTGCTGATGTTACTGTGACAGTGACACCAGATGCAGACTGGGTCAGTAAGCACAGCACTAACCTTCTGGTTACTGCCCATTTTGACACAGCGCTTCACTGCCATGCTCGTGTTTCTGTTCTAGGTCTGCTGCAGTTTCAGTGAACCCAGAAACAAGCTGGAGGAGCACCTCCTTTTCCATTTGGGTTCTTTTATAGTCTCTGGAATCAATATTGAGTTCAACAACTTACCACGAAAATTTTTTCCCCCTCCATTTGATTCCTCCCACCTGTCAAGCAACTAGCTTTCTGCTTTTGGTAGAACTGAGCTACATTCTACCATTAACATTCACCCAGCACCCATCTCTCTCTTCCACATCCATTGCCTTTTGTTCTATGATGCTGGTGATGTCTAATCTCGCTCATTCTCTAACCTCTCCCCACCTCCTCCTTCTGGCCCACTTGCTGTTCTCAACTTCTTTCTATAATATAAAACCCATCCCCTTTCCTGCCTCTCTCAAGCTCCAAAGAATTTTGAAGCTTTAACTGCTTATCTCTCCTCCGATGCTGTCGGACCTGCTGAATTTCTCCAGCACTTTGTTTTTATTTCAGATTTCCAGCATCTGTAGTAACATCCTTTTGTGTTATGACACTGCACTAGGCTCAAAGCAGGAGTTTAAGTGGAATTAGATTAAAAGTGTAGTGTACCCTCTTTAACTGCATGGTTCAGATATTTTATACCAGTAACCCTTCAGTGCCATATTAGTACTTAAAAATGGAATCCATCTGTTATTTTTAATTATTCTTGGGAATGGGCATTGCTGGGTAGGCTACTGTTTATTTCATATTCCTTATTGCTCTGGAGAAGGTGGTAATGAGTGATCTTCTTGAACCACTGCAGTCCTTGGGCTATGGGTACACGCTCAAAATTGTGAGGGAGGTTGTTCCAGGAATTTGATATAGTTCTAAGAGAGAATGCTGTGTGACTTGGAAGAGAAATTATTCCCATTTACCTGCTACGTTTGTTCTTCTAGTAGAAGTTGTGGGTGTAGAAGATGCTGTTGAAGGACCTTTTTTGAGTTACTGCAGGTGTATCTTGTAGATGGTACACACTGCTGCCACTGTGGGTCAGTAGTGAAGGGAGTGGATGCAGTGCCAATCAAGTGGGCTACATTGGCCTGTATGGTGACCAGATTCTTGCTTGTAGTTGGAGCTGCACTCATCCAGACAAGTGAAAAGTATCCCATCACACTCTTGACTTTTGCCTTGGAGCATCAGGGAGTCAGGAAGAGAGTTACTTGCTGCAGAATTCCTTCCTCTTGTAGCCACAGTATTTATGTGATGAGTCCATGTCAGTTTCTGGTCAATGGCAATGCACAGGATGTTGTGTGGGATTCACTGGTCATTGAAGGCCATGGGGAGATGGTCTTTGTCTGGCACCTATGTGGCATGAATATTACTTGCATCTCAAACCTGGGCATTGTCCAGCACCAGCTGAATATGGGCATGGACTGCTGCAATATCTGAAAAGCTACAAATGCTGTTGAACATTATTCAGTCATTTGCAAATGTCCCACTGCAGACCTTGTGGAGGGGAGGTCATTGTTAGCTTAGATGAAGATATTTGGGCCTTGGATGTGGTCTTGAGGAAGTCCTGTAGTATTGTCCTCAGACTGAGATCACTGACCTCCAGTGACCCTAACCATTTTCCTTTGTGCCAGGTCTGACTTCAGTTAATGGAGAAGTTTTCCTCCAATTCTCAAGGACTCCAGGTTTGCTAGGATTCCTTGATGCTTACACTCAGTCAAATGCTGCCTTGATCTCGGTCACTTTCATCTCACCTCACCTCTGGAATTCAGTTCTTATGTCCATGTTTGGATCATGGCTGTAATAAGGTCAGGAGCTGAGGGAACCTGGACTGAGCAGGTTATTGCTAAGTGTTGCTTGAATGCACTCTCTTGATTTTAATTCCATCGCTTTGCTGATAATTGAACAGTTGACTGAGCACTACATAGCGGGTTGGATTTATTCTGATTTTTTTTTTGGACTAGAGTAACCTGGGTAACTTTCCACATTGTCAGATGACAGTGTTGTAGCTTGGGGTAACAACTTTGACTAGTTCTGGAGCACAAGTCTTCAGCACTATTGGTGGAATATTGTCAGAATCTTGGTATGACATGGAGTAAATCAAATTGGTTGCAGATTGACATTTGGGTTGATGATAGGAATCTCTGGAGGAGGCTGAGGAGATCATCCACTTGTAACTCCTGGCTGGAGATGAAGGCAAATTCTTCAGATTCTTCTGCACTTGTGCTGGGCTCTTTCAGGAGGGGAAGATTTGTAGAACTTCTTCATTGGCTTATTGCAATTCACAAGTCAGCTGGGCACAGATTTGGATCTATTTGAATGAAATAACTTCCTATCATTTTGTTGCTGATGCCGTTTGGCGCACATGTCATCCTGTGCTCAAGCATCACCAGATTGCTCACTCTTGTTGAGCTGTGCCTGGTGCAGCTCCTGAGGTCATGAATCCCAGCTTGATGGTGGTGGTAAAGTGGGGGATATGCAGGGCCATAGTGGACTCGTGGCACAGTGGTGGTGTCCCAACCTCTGAGCCAGGAGGCCTAGGTTCAAGTCCTACCTGCTCAGGAGGTGTGTAATAACGCCTGAATAAGTTGTTTAGAAAAGGCATGTGCCAGACCATGATTGATTGCTTACAGTTCTGCAACTGATGCTTGTTCACAATGCCTCATGGGTTGCTAGATCTGTTCAGAGTCCATCCCATTCGGGCATGCAACACGATGGAGGCTATTCTCGGTGTGAAGTCAGGAATTCAGGTCCATAAGAACTGTGGTAGTTAGTGCTGATACTGTCATGGACAGGTACGTTCATAACAGGCACATTGGTGAGGACAAATTTATTCAAGTTGGTTTTTGTCTCTTACTGGTTCTTACCACCTGCTGCAGCTATGTCTTCTAGCACTGTGCCAGTTTGGTCCTTACTGGTGTTATGGAGCCACTCGAGGTGATAGATCTTGAAGTGTGCCAGTGCTACCTTCAGTATTTCTTCGTTTTGGTGTTCATCCTAAAGGAGTGCTGATTTGTCGGCTGAGAGGGTGTGGTACGTGGTAATCCCTGCCCATGTTTGACCTGATTTTCATGGGGTGCTTCATACTCAGGACTTCTAGGGCAACTGTCTTCTGACTATATACCACTGTGCTGTCAGCTCTGGGCCTATTCTGGGACAGGACATATCCAGGCATGGTGGCCGGGAGATATCTGCAAGTTAGAATTCTGAGATTGAGTGAGTATATCACGTTTTTGATGATCCAGTCATCAGGCTTTCAGTTTTGGCACAGGATCCTAGATGTTAAGGTAGATGTTTCAAAATCATTGGGCTGAGTATGGTGTTGTTTCCAGTACCAGGTGATCCAGTCCGGGCCATCCAGTCCCACTCCTTTCAGACTTTGTAGCAGCTTTGATACAACTGGGTGCCTTCTGATTTGGCCTAGCAAACCAGTTAAAAATCATTGACATTGCTTTGGATCTGGAGTCATGTGTAGGCAGACCTGGTAAGGATGGCAGATTTTGTTCCCTAAAGAACACTAGTGAATCTGATTTTTCTTTTTAAAACAAATTGATTTCATAGTCACTAGCTTTTACTAATTGAATGAAAATTTCACCATGTCACCTGAGCATTACCTGGGCCTTGGATTATATTCCAGTGATATTATCACCCCTCTTTCCCCCCACACCCCTTCTATTGATCAATTGGAAGCAAAAACAGCTTGTTTTTGGATTGTTATAATCTATTGTTTCATAAGATTTTAGTATAATCTTGTTTTGGATGATGGATATTAAATTTCAGGACAAAACAGATCAATTGATTAGCACCACATCCACAAACATTCACTAGCTAAGGTGTGTGTACTATCTACAAGATGCACTGCACTGCAGAAATTCACTAAAGATCCTTGGATTGCACCTTCCAAACCCATGACCGCTTTCACCTAGAAGAGCAAGAGTAGCAATTATGTAGGAATCACCTGCAAGTTCACCTCCAAGCCATCACCATCCTGACTTGGAAATATAGCTGTTCTTTCACTGTCAAAATTCTGGGATGCCTCTTTAAATGTATAGATCTACCTGCAGCTCATAGCCTGCGGTGATTCAAGAAAGCACCTTCTCCAGAGCAACTAGGGATGGGCAAAAAAATGTCAGCTCAGCCAGTGTCATCCACATCCCATGAATCACTAACCATAAGTGTCTTTGCCACTTGCAGTTGAGAATTGTCAGACATTGCATTTCAACATGTTCCTCCAAATATACTGCAGCAGCTATGGAGGACTATAGTTCCAGGTAACAAGATTTTGAGCCCACTGCGTAAATTTAAATGATTATCGTGGAAATCAAATACTAGGGATAAAAGAAACACTTTGAAGCATTTCATGTTGCACTTGTCAGGATCGTTTGCAATTGTACTTCTCCAAGGGGAAAAAGAGGTTCTGTGCTATCAAATGTAGAAATTGACATACTTTTTGTTTTCACATAGTATCAATTGATTATGTTTTCATTCTAAGGCTTAGTTTGAATGTGAAACTAACAGTAAAGATCAAGGCAAACTCTGCTCCTTAGAGCTGGTTTGATTAAATTTATTGAAATCTTGATTTTTGTGAATTCAGACTCCAGTGGCGATTTGGTTTGCTTTAATTTGCCTTGTGTATCTGGGCTCTCAAACTATGTAAAGCATTCTGCAAACAAAGACCTTGTCTGAGGAAGTGGCTGAAGAGCAGGATGCTAGAGGTTTCATGGTCCACACACTGTTGCATACACTCAGAAAGCCTGGGAGTTCAATTTGTGTTGCATTCTCCAAAATACATTTTTTTGTGCTTGGTTTTTCAGACACGATGGCAGAGGATATGCAGACCAAGCTGAAGAATTACAAGACAGCACCTTTTGATGCCAGGTTTCCTAACCAAAATCAAACCAGGAACTGCTTTCAAAATTACTTGGGTGAGGAATTAAGAGAATTGCAGAAGCAGAAAACATGGGTCTTAATTAGCCCAGGTCTGGGCTGTGTTTGCCTTGAGTGATAAACCCCTACACTTTTTTCTTTATTCTTTGAAAATTGGTATTTTTCTTCCAAGCAACGATGGTTTCTGTAATGTACAAAATTTAGTTAAAATACAACTGTAAAACTGATGCTACATCCACCACTCACGTTTTGTTTTCAGGGAGAATCAACAGTAATTTCTATCATGCATTGCAACAGAATATCCAGCTATTTTTGTCTAACTCTGGTAGTTTTTGTTATCACTTGACTGCATTTGGAGAATGGAACTCTTTTATTTTCTTGCATCAGAAATGACCACCCTTGTGGTGCATTTGTAATGGCCTGGATGCAAATTAATTTTCTACAGTCAGCACTGACTTGGAATAAAATGCAATTTCACAAATCATAGAATTCCTACAGTGTGGAAGCAGGTCGTTTGGCCCATTGAGTCCACACCAACCCTCTGAAGAGCATCTCATGCCCTCTATCCCAGTAACCCTGCATCCCATGACTAATTCACCTACCCTGGACACTATGGGCAATTTAGCATGGCCAATCCACCGAACCTGCACACCTTGGGACTGTGGGAGGAAACCAGAGCACCAAAAGAAACCCATGCAGACATGGAGAGCGTACAAACTCCACATACGAGTCACCAGAGAGTGGAATTGAACCTGGGTCCCTGGCACTGAGAGGCAGCAGTGTTAACTACTGAGCCACCATGCTGTCCAGTTAGTGCCTTAAATTTTCTTACTGTGTTTTTAACAAAGTGTTTCAGTTTGCCACATCCAGGAATATTAATCCATTATAATTTCAAACCTTGGTTGTAAAGTGTTCTCCAAAATGCTCTGGCTGCTTGGTCAACATTACTTCTTTAGACTGAGATACGCCATTTTCATTTCTCAACAATCCACAACAATTAATTGCATTAATCTAGCACCATTAATGCAATAAAATATCCCAAATTGCTTCATGGGAGCATTAGAAAACAATTTGATGTTGTCCCATAAATGGATTTTTGGGTCAGTGATTAAAAGGTTGATCAGAGAGGTGGTGTTTAAGGAGGGAAATGAATTGGGACCTGGATTCAAATCCCACCATGGCAGATGGTGGAATTTGAATTTAGTAAAAGTCTAGAATCAAGTCTAATGATGACTATGGATCCATTATTAACTGTTGGAAAAACCCATCTGGTTTGCAAATGTCCTTTAGGGAAGAAAACCGCCATCCTTGTGCAGTTTGGCCTACATGACTCCATATCCTATGTGATGTGGTTGACGCTTAACAGCCCTCCAGGTAATAAATGCTGGCTCAGTCCAAGATACCCACATCCGTGAGTGAATATACAAAAATAATTGCTGGAGAACTGGTCTAAGCCTGGTTGAAGAGGAGCCAGTGGAACAACACCTGCTGCCCAGCACAGGTGCCAGTAATCCATTGATATGATGGTGTGGCTTCAATTCTGTGTGAGCACTCACCTCTACACTTAACCATATAATTGTTCCTTGCTGTTTGTAGTTGTGTACATGCTATGAATGGGGCTGAAATCGATTAATGGGCTGATAGTGAATTATTTTTATACTGCAGTGATTTTCTTTCATTTTGAGTGCAGTATATTTGTGAATAGTATCAATAATGAAATTGTCCTGCTTGTGCTTGTCTTACAGACTTTCATCGTTGTACTAAAGCACTAACTGCAAAAGGAGTTGATACTTCTCCATGTGAGTGGTATCACAAGGTATTTAAATCAATCTGCCCAATCTCCTGGGTAAGTAATGGCACATATGCTTAAAATCTAGAAGTGGTTGTGCTTTTTAAAGTCAAATGTTAATCACTTAAGCTATTTATTTTGAAAGTCTGAAATAACTGGTTTCATGTTGTTTTCCTTTAGCAACATTCTAGTTAATGTAACAGCATTTTATAGTATTGTTATATGAACAAATTAACTGCAATAATCATTCAGGTAGCTCAAAACCTGAGATTCTGCTGATTTTTTTTTTTCAATCAAATTGTTTGCTATGAAATAACTTTATTTTCTATCTTAGGTAAGCAAATGGAATGATCAGCTGGCAGAAGGCACGTTCCCTGGAAAAATCTAACTTGTGATTGCAGCTTGATTGAAACCCTTACAATGTTTCCAAAGCTTACAGCTTTCACCAAAATAAATACTAAATATTAAACAGGTTATTTTCTCACCTTTTGTGCTTCTTATTTTGTGTAAAACCACTTGTCGTTGTGTGACTTGATAACATTAGTTTTAAACCTGTGCAAAAAGGAGGAATTTGGTGTTGTCTTTAGTGGCTGCATTCACTAGCCAGAAATCTCAGGGCAGCCCCCTTTGTCACCATTTATGGGAGCTCTAAGATTCAGTTTCAATCAGGAGCTGCTGGCCAAGCAAAGGATCAACAGCTCGACATTCCCAAACGCCTGAGGACAAGCTGGAATACAAGAGGGCCCTGGGATCAGATACATTGTTGTGTGGAATGTCTCAAATCTGCGGGGGGAGGAAAGAGATGGAGGGTCCCCTCCTGACCCCATTCCTAGGCACTCAGCTTCTAGTGAACAGATGGCTCGAACATGGGCACCTTGGCACTTGTACAGAAGGTGGGATAACGTCTTTGAAGATAACCGTTGAATGGTTCTTTAAGGACCTCCAATGAATTCCAGGCAGCAAGCCTGTCCTCGACCATTCCTAACAATTCTACAACAGCTGTGTACCCACCTGCTCCTTTTGGGGAATTAAACTCCATAAACTAGCTTTGCCTACATTCTTACTGAGATGTGTAGCCCATCAGCAGTTTCCATCTTGTGATTTGCTCAATGGATATACTGTAGGCAAGGAAGGTAAGTGGTGGGGTGGCAGTTGTGAGAACCTCCCATAGAGACAGGAAAGAATGTAATTTCTTCATCCTGTGGAACATAGTTTTGCTCAGGATCCTTGATCAAATACTGCAGTCTATTACCTTTACAGGAGTTTCTTGGGGTAGTATCTTAAGCCCAACCATCTTCAGCTGCTTCAATGATCTTCCCTCCATTATACAGTCAGAAGTGGAGATGTTTGCTGATGATTTGCACAATGTTGAGCACCATTTGTGACACTGAAGCAATCCAGGTTCAAATGCAAAAAGTTCTGGACGATATCTAATTTTTGGACTGTTAATGGGTAAATCACGTTTGCACCATGCAATGACCAATTCAATCAGAGAAAGTAAGTATCTTCCTGATGCATTACTGTCACTAAATTTCTCATTAGCAATATCCTGGTGGTCATTATTTATGAGAAACAGAACTGAACCAGCCATATAAAATACTGTGGTTACAAAAACAGGTCAGATGCTAGGAATTTTGCAGCCAATAACTCATCTCCTGACTTCCAAAGTCTGTCCAGCCAAGAGGCACAGGGCAAGATGTAAAGGTATTTCTATGCTTGATTGGCCCTCCAATCACCACTTTCAACAGTCAGTCAGAGTGCAATCTACAAGCTACACTACAGCAACTTACCAAGAATAGTACCTTTCAAACCCATGACCTCTATCACCTGAAATGCAGGGGTAGCAAATACATGGGAAGAGCATCACCTAAAAGTTCCCCTCTGAGTTTCTCACCACCCTGACTTGGAAATATATCTCTGTTCTTTCAGGATTGCTGGATCAAAATCCTGGAATTCTTTCCCTGAGAGCATTGTGGATGCTGCCACACTCCCATGGACTGCAGCAGTTCAAGGCAGCTCACCACCACCTTTTTCAAGGGACATTAGGGATGAATGATCAACACTGGCTCAACAGGCAATACCCACCTCCTGTCAAACAATATATTAAGTAAACAAACCTTAATACGAGTACTATCAATTTCACAAGCATAGAGGTTAGCTTAGCCTTAAACTTGGGCTTATATGGAATAAGGATGAGCAGACTACTAGAACACCTCATGCATATCCACCATTTAATATGATCATGGCTGTTCATTTTCTGCAGCTCAATTTTTCTGCTAAACACCAATGTATTTTGACTCTCTGAGACACACAAAATAAATCTCATCTTTAAACAGATTCAGTCATGGGACATCCACAGCTTTCCGAGGTAGAGAATTCCAAAGATTCACAACCCTTTGAGTGAAGAAATCTCCGGCTGTGCCTCATTTTCTAGATTCCCCAGCCAGATGAAATAAGTTGGGTCTGCCCTGTCAATCCCCTTTACAATCGAGAAATTGTTGCCTTTTGTCTGTGATACAGAAGGTCATGCATGAAAGGAAGGTCATGGAAGAATCACACTGGCAGTTTTGTTGAAATTCCAAAAAGCATAAAATATTCCCAAGTTTACAAATTCAGCTCAGTAAAAACAAAAATTGCATTTACACAGCATCTTTCATAACCTCAGAGCACCTGAAAAGATTTTATGACAAACTAATATTGTTGACCTTTTGTAACATAGGAAATGCTTATATAGTTATCAGCGACTGAAATCCACACACATCATGACAGGTTTGAGGTAGTAACTGTATTAACCATTTTTCTTAATTTGAGACAATAAATGTTGCTATCACTGAGCGCCTTTTCATACAACTATGTTTTAAGTAAAGCTGTTTAAAAACACAAGCAGGTTTTTAAAAACTACCTTTTTGGCCCTAGTAAGCCCAAACAGAAAAGTACATGATTGAGAGGGAGAGGGGAATGAATAGACCAAAAGACACTTCAAATGTAGGAATATTTCACTTAATAATTCCCAACAATAATCAAATGCAATAGATGCAATAGAATGCTCACATTTCGCAAACATTTCCTCTACCAGTCTGCAAAATAACCCTGATATATTGTATATAGTCACTTCATACAGGGAAGAATATACTTTATCTGTTGCACTAAATTCTCATAAACATGGAGCAAAAAGTTGGGTCAATTGACGCCTATGATACTATAAACGTATGCAGAGCTATGAAATGGTGCCTCTGATGTGTGCATAGTCCGTGGTGTAACTTGTACTGGACCTTGTATTGGTGACAGCATCTGTGCGGTCAGAGTGAAATATACAAAAAAGGCAAAACGTGATATCAGTGAGCATGCAGCACTGATTTGGTGCCAGTGGTCTCACTCCACCCCTGCAAGAGTTATTTCAAACTATTTACAGGTTGGTTGTTGTTAATTTTAACTGTCTTTTGCTACAGCTTTACAGATAATTGGTATTTCATCCAGGCAATTTGGTTATGACAGAAAGGTTCAATTACACACATTAGGAATTCTACTTAGAATAAGGTAACATGTAAATGTAATTCTAATGGGTATAACCTTTTCAAATGATAGTCAGAATTAGTTTAATGCCACCCAAACATTAAAATTGTTAATTTATGGAGAAAAATAGATTTAATTTCATTATGAAATATATTTGTTGCTCAGAAGTTGATATTCATTTACACTGTAACATTAAAACTACTTAAATTGCTCATCAGATTTGAAAACTTTTTTAATAAGTACTGCTGTTCTTTACATATCACATACATATGTACAATTATTACATGGAAAACATTTGAAAGAATAAAGTCTGATATGTGTCTAAGTACAAGACATTAGGGGTACATTATGCATTGCTTCAATGCTACAAAAACGTCACAAAGTTCATAAGACATCAGCACTGGTTTTGTGCAATGCAATTAATCACGTTTTGGAGTTAGATTGTATTTGCTTTTTGCAATTGCTGTGTTTCCAAATGAGGCATTAGTAAGAGTTCTCAATGTGAGAAGAAGCCATTTTGACTCAGCATAGCTGATGAATATACATAGTTGCATGTTGCTTTTTCATTAGTCCACTGGATTGCTGGAAGGGTAGAGTCATCAGATGACTTAATAAATATATTCTTCAATAGAATATTGCCATATTAGCAGTCAGTTGCTTAAAAATCATTCAGTGTTCATCGAATTTAAGAAGAAATTACATCTTAAAGTAGTGATAATTTGGATCAATACTGATTATATTCTCATGACAGGAACATAGTTTACCAAAACAGGCATTGGTACTAAGAAATTCTAGAACTTCTTAGAACAGAGAATGCCTAATAGATAAACTAGGGAATTTTTAAACAAAAGATCTGAATAGGACTTTTGTCTCAATTGAGCTGGAATACAGCATGTTGCAAAGTGATCGAATATTTGTTTAAACATGAATATCATGGATTTTCTCAAAGTGAAGGGCAATATATTTGACAGAGGGACATACAGATGCATTTAACCTTGATGACTGTATTTCAAAACACTGACTTTCGTCAACTCCCAACCAAATTAAAAAAGATGGGATTAATAATTATTTTGTTATTTTGTTCAAATTCAATTTTGCAAAGATACAGCCGAATGGCAACAATGCGCAGTTAGGCACAAATGTTCGGTAAGTAGGCACACCAAAGAGAGGTTGGAGGAGCATATATTAGTCTCTGAGCTCATTCTGCCGCTTCATCAATTTCTTTACAGCTGATATTGTGAAGACAGTCCTTACCACATACAGTAAAGAAAGTTCACTGTGTACTTGACTTGAAGGTGCTGAATCCTAATTGCAGGTGACTCAGCACTTTAACAGATTAAACAGCCAAGAAAACACAAAGGAGAAAATAATCAAATGTACGGGGAATGTCAGGTAAATAGTGTTTAAGTGTGATCAATCTATGGTTACTTTGATGAGAAATTCCTGTCCGCTTTTGCCAAAAAGAAAGCAAAACTATGTTTCAAACATGGACAGCATAATCAGAACCAAAAGCAGTAACTTGCAGATAATTCACCGTGATGAGATCTTTATAAAAACCTTCTTCTCCCAAATGATCCTCTGTCGGTCATGCATGTCTTTGGTCGCAAAGCTAAAAGAAAACCGAAGATTAAATTTATTGGTAAACGCAGTTTACAAAAGAGAATCCATTAATTTAACACGACGTGCAACTAGATGAGAAGAAAAGCTTAAAATCAACTGCTTCCTTGCAATGTTTTTTTTAACAGAGACTGAAAATGTTTCTTTAAATAAAAGCTCTAGTAAGTGTTCATTGCATAAAACTTACAGCATAGAGTGACCATTCAGCTGAACCAGTCCGTCTGTTTAGCTTCCAATCTGCAAATCATCCAAATTACACTAACCCACTCTGCTCTCATATCTTTTGATTGTATCTTCCTTCACATACTTATCAAATTCTAATCTCAAAACAACTAAAGAGATTCTGCCTAGACC